CAAATAGACTATCTGGAAAAGTGGTGAGCTCACCTAAGCAGCTCCCATTGAAGATTAGACCAGAAAACCAGCTTAAAGAATAGAGTCTTTCTGCAATATTTCAAACGTGATTTATATGCCAGTGTTGTTACAAAACGCTTTACTGCAGTGTGCATATGTATTTAAGTAGCACACCTGCAACTCCAATCTTTTCATACAAGGGAATATCTGATGATGCAAATGCAAAGCTCAGTGTGAGCAGTGTCAATGTGTCCTCACCAGCCTGCTCAAAAAAGTTGTCTTGTGCTGGGGACACACTATTCGGATTAACCCAGCTCATCACCTGACTGGCCCAGATACCTCCAAAGGTAAAAGTTAGGCTTTCACTCCCACATACTTTAAACAGGCATTTTCAGAAACAGATATCTTGAAGGGGCGTTCTGCCTTTACCATTCCACACTGATGCCTGTGTCCACTCCTGGAGAGCATCAGGTCATGAGCCTTCGAGGTCCTGCAGCTGTGCAAGGAGGGGCCAGGAGGAGGCATCTTTGTTCCTCAGACCAACACACACAGCAAGAAGGTTCCTGAGCCTCCTTTTACCTAACTCCTGCCAGTTAAATTCTGCTACAAGGCAGTAGGAGGAAAAGCAAAAAGCTGGAAATAAAGCCAATCATCAGCCTTCAGCATCCTGCACTAAGAGGACATTCAACCACTGTGTCCCTGCTGGCTACAGGCAGCAGGCATGGGAACAGAAATAAAAATGACGCAGACATGATGGGGAGTGATCCTGGCGTACTAGATTGAGCTACCAGCTGAAGAGTGCAAACCTGACTGCTCTTTTGGAGAGACATTATTACTCCATGATACCTGGAAAGCCACAGACTGACTTATGCTGCAAAGTGTGTGCAATCCTAGTTAAAAAAACATGCTGCCTTGCTTTCAAACAAGTTGTATCAATGTGGTTTCAGCTACATCACACAAAAAAAAAAAAACAAGCATTCACTGTGTGAACTGTTCTTTTAAACTATTACATTATACAACTAAAAGAAAAGGCAGTGCCTTTTATGGCTGGGCAAGGGACTAAGAGACAGGTTAAGATTAAGAGAATTAACAGAGATTAAGATAACAGAAGGTTCTGTTGCTGCCTCTGTTCTAGAGGTGCTGTGTGTACCTGTGGTGGGGAGCTTCACAATACCTTCCTTTCTCCTTCTCAGGGATTTTGTTCATCTTCACTGTATGCATTATAAACCCTTCAAAGCCAGGCATTTTTGAACCAGATCTCAGTAACTACACTTGGAAGGACACAGTCCCATTCTCAGAGGGACACTCCATGCAACCCCACAATCAAAAAGCTGGGACATCTTCCTGTATACCATAAATGCAGTAGCTTCTGTTCCTGTTCTGATCAATAATCCCTAGCAAATGCTTGCTTTGTCCTGCTGACCCCTGTGACCCAGCTAGGACACAGTTACAAATAATCTTTGCTAGCCCAGACGCCACAAGCCAGCTGTCCAGGTTCCCTTCCCAGACCCTGGAGGTCTAGTCCAGGAAGTCACAGAGCTTGGGATGAGATTATTCTGGCCAAGGAGAAGCATTTACTTTAGGAGGGGAGTTCTCCTCTGGACTCACTGGCTGGATATCTACTGATGGAGAAGAGGACCTAGGCACCTTGTTCATATGAGCCCACCTCCACTGCAGCAACCTGGCATAAATCGTATTCAGCTTGTAGTTCCAGCAGAAAAAAAAAAAAACAAAAACAAAACAAACTTGAAAGCAGCTCTGCTTGCCACAATATTTATTTGCCTTGGATTTACGATTGTTTCAGTCTGGTTTTCCTGCTTCACCTTGTATTACTTTGTCACAGAAAGAACATCTGAATCAAAAAACATTGCTAAGTGTGCAGATCTCTGCTGCTCTAATAGATTTCCTAAATTCATGCTTGTGACAGATTCCAGGCCTTCTCTCTTGCCTTGGAAAATGACAGCCTTCCCCATGGTTTCTGATTGACAAGGATGATGAGCCTCTCCAGGGAGCCCAGACAACATTAGCCTGTCAGACAACTCTGTTGACTAGAATCACTCTGTTGTTTTAAAGAAAAGCTAACAGAGGCTGGAGGAACACCATACAACAGTAACTTTGGTGACATATTTAACACATATACATATAGTGTTTCACAACTGACAGCAGGCTCAAACCCATCTAAAGAGACAGAAGTCAGAACAACATGATTTCTCCCTCTGGTGGGAAGCAAGTCACCTATCTCTGCTGCCACAGAGGGGCATTAAATGCTGCTCCCTATGTAGACTTTTGTGTTCCAAAGTACTCAAATTATACCAATTAGCTTCAAAACATTATGCTAGCACTGAAGTCAGATGAATTTGTGTAATATCATTAAAGCAAGAAAACAAAAAATCACAATTTTTCATTTAAAATAATAATTAAAAAAAAAAAAAAACCACAAAAAATACCAAAAGACCAGACATTTGAGCAAGGTGTTATGGCTGCCTCAGTTGCTTCCTCAGTGGCTGGGTGGGAGATTGCATTCCAGCAGATTTTCCAGGAAGGCATGTTTCCTTGAAAAAGACCCCTGTAGGAGCCTATTGGCAGGAAGAAATGGTAGTGCGTAAGGGAACTGGGACTGGCCAAGAGCTAAACCATCACTGAAACACAACATCCTCCCACAGCAAAGTTTTAAAGGGACTGCAATCAAATCTTCAACAATCCTTACAAGCCTTTCCCAAGCAGTTGAGTTCTGATGAAGTATCATTGTAAACCTCTTCATAGCAGCAAGAGACGTTTAAACAGCTGTAATACACTCTAACTGGTGAAATTACTTACCTAGCAGAAAAGGTAGGAACTCCTTAGAAACAATTAATGCACCTTTTCTTAAGATACTTCAAGAAAAGTGGATGCTTGGTAGCAGCAGCATAGCAATACATTGGTGCTGTGATGCTTCTTTGCAGCTACAGTGATATCAGTGGGATGGTACTATACTAGACAGAGAAAAATGTTCTTTGGAATGGGCTATTACTCAACTTAGGTGCTTGTAAATCTCAGCTTATTGCATACAATCAAGTTCTGCATGAAGAAATGTTAACGTATTTTCTGTCAGTGACTTGTCGTGTTTTCTCAAGCCTGAGGGTCAGTAGGTAGGCTGTGAGTAGAGGAGACAGTTTTCATGAGAAGCCGTGGAACAGCCAAGAAGTAACAGTGACTGCAGACACACCACACCCAGAACGAAACTCTTTACATTTGGTTTGCTCTCAGCAGTTTCTTCACACACCCACAGACAAGAAACATAACATACACACTCACACACACACAAATATTGTATCTGCTAGCCAGACTAGCTCTCTCTTCTCTCTGTAGCTTGGGCTGTTTCAGTTCTATGTGGGAGTTTCATCTAGGATGCAGCCCCAATGGAACATAAATGAAACTCCAAACAGACAAATTTATCCGGAAGGAAAAATTCAGACAGTAAAAGGCAAAGTGTGTCTCCAGGACTTTTAGAGCAGAAGCTATCAAAAACCATTACTGTCTCTTAATTTAAAAAAAAAATAATTAAAAAAATGGATGAAAAAAATTACTTCAGAGATGTGACTCCTTCTGAAATCATCCAACAGGGTTATTAACAGATTTGACACTATTTGTGGTGACAGGATTCCTCATCAATGCCTGAAAAGCTTTATTGACAAAGGGAGTTGTGTGGCATCTTTCACAATCCCTGTACTTGCAGAGCATTGCCAAAGCTGGCCCAGAGACAGCAAAGGGCACATATCCCTGCAAAACAGCAACAATGTAATTTGCAAAGTTTTTTGCATGGAAGTACAAATTAGCAGTCCCAGGCTGCAAGGGCCTCATTGGGGAAACTGAGGCAGAGGAGTTTGTTTTCAGCCTCACGTGAGAGATGCATCAAAGCCCTGCACCTGCATTGAGTGACTTCTCACCCAGGAGTCTCATCTGCTGCTGAGCCCTAGGCCATTCCCTCCTCTGGGTCACTTGACAAGGCTGCATCCCTTCAGCAGCTGTGCCCAGTCTGACCCTTCCCTGCCATTCATCCCTGGGCTTGTCCATCACTGTGGCTCAAGGGAGCTACCTCCATGCTACCATTACTTTATGCTGTCCTGGCAAAGCAGCATTCCACATGCTCCCACCACATTCTTCATCTTCTTCTTCCCTTGGTGCCACTGTCTTAGATTTACACAAAAGTTACACATCATGAATGGTCTCCTCTCTTCCTCCACATACACACACACCTTGTAACCTTTCTACCAAGGCAACAGTGAAACTTTAGGACACGGATTTCCCAAAACCAGTGGACAATATGCTGCTACCTACAGGCAATTTTAGAATGCAGCACTGAGTATCTCAATCTGCTGAAACAGACATGCAATGGACAAACTTGCTGTTCTGGCCACATGCCTACATGATTTAGAGTTATTAGCAACTGTAGACAGAATCAGTTCATGAAAGAGCTAGTACATTCTGTGCAGTGTTTTCTAAACACTGTTGACTATCCAATGGCCTTGGGTCTGGATCATAGAATCATAGAATCATAGAATCATAGAATCATAGAATCATAGAATCATAGATGGTTAGAATGGTTAGGGTTGGAAGGGACCTCAAAGATCATCTAGTTCCAGCCTCCCTGCCATGGGAGTGGACCAAGTGGTCCATCAATCAAAACCATGTCTTTCCAGTTTAGAGACAAGGATGTCGTGTGGGACAGTATCAAATGCTTTGGATAAGTCCAGGTAGACGATGTCAGTTGCTCTTCGAATCTAGTTTAAAGCCCTGTCAACGAGCTCTGCTAGCTGTTGCGCTAACACCCTCGTTCCCCTCTGAGAAAGGCAAGTCCTGTCTGGTGCCAGTAGGCCTGGTGCCATGTGGCCCATGCCATTATCAAAAAAGCCAAAATTGTGGCGATGACACCAGCCACGGAGCCACTTATTAATCAACTGAATGCACTTGCTTCTTCCAGTGTCGCTACTTGCAACTGGAAGGATGGACGAAAAGATTACCTGTGCCCCAGATCCTCTTACCACCTGTCCCAGGGTCCTGCAATCCCTCTTGATTGACTGTGGACTCTGTGCTTCAGTTTCATCTCCACCCACATGGAAGAGCAGTAAAGGATAGTAGTCCGTGGACCGTACCAGGCTAGGAAGTTTCCTAGCGATATCTTTAACCCGGGCTCCAGGGAGGCAGCAGACTTCCCGCAGAGCAGGGTCAGCCCGGCATATTGGACCTTCCGTCCCCTTCAGATGGGAGTTGCCTATAACTACTACCCTTCTTTTCTTTCCTGTGGAGGCGGTCTTGATACAACGGGTAGTCCTCTCTGACCCTGGTGACACCTCCAGTGCAGATGGTCCCTTGGCTACACCATCCATCGATGGGCCTTCCACCTCCAGAGTCTCATACCTGTTGTGCAGGGTCACCTGAGGAGCTGAGGTAGGCAAGGAGCAGGGGGGTCACCTGTTGCCCCGAGCACAGACTTCTTTCCATTCGTGGCTCACCTTTGACTTACTGTCTTCTGCCGTGTGGGGTGAGGAATCAGAATGTCCTTTGTTTTAGGTTGCCTTTTCTGGGTCTTCCTAAAGAAGAAGTGTTTTCTAAACACTGTTGACTATCCAATGGCCTTGGGTCTGAATGATACTATGGAACTTAGCAAGATGGCTGTCTGGCCTTTTCAAGGATTCCATGCAGGTCACTAGATGGACCATTTTCAGAAAGCTGCAAAACCAAAGAAGATCCCCAAAAGGTGGAGAGGAAGCAGTGCTGGACCAGTTGGACCCTCCTGAGTTCAAAGCTTTCAAGAGATCTGAGATGCCAAAACTCTGTCATGAGAAACAAAGAACTGAAGTCTCTTTCAGCCTGGGACATATGGCTTTATTTTTAAAATAAACAACATAAAAAAATCACAATGACGAGGCAGATATTAACATATTACATTGTTTCATATTCTAAGAGATTGAAAGTGCAAATGGAAGGCTGAAAATACGTCTCAAAAAACTAGAGAATAAAAAATTAAAATTTTTTATTCCACTTTTTACAAGGTAGTGATAGAACGAGAGGCAATGGATTTAAACTGAAAGAGGGTAGATTTAGATTGGATATAAAGAAGAAATTTTTCACTCTGAGGGTGGTGAGGCACTGGAACAGGTTGCCCAGAGAAGTTGTAGATGCCCCATCCCTGGAAGTGTTCAAGGCCAGGCTGGATGAGGCTTTGGGCAACCTGGTGTAGTAGAGGGTTTCCCTGCCCATAGCAGGGGAGTTGGAACTAGATGATCTTTGAGGTCCCTTCCAACCCAAACCATTCTATGATTCTATGATTCTAAGTTTGATAATTAGGTAAGATGTGTGAGGTTATATTAAAAACTGTCATTGTTGGATTATTCTGTGATGACTGTGTTTCACCTAGAAACTTAAAATCATCCTGGCAAGAAGCAAATTTCATATGAAATGTTTGATCTGCAAGTCCTTGGAAGCTTGTATCCATAGAAGAGAGACATGAGAAGTTATCTGCACAAGCATGTAGCTACAGAGTGTTAGAATGTGGATCCCCATGCCTCATTAATTAGTAAACACAGTTCCTACATTTGGCCTGACTATTGTCTCTTTCAGATGCACCACACTCTGGTTTAGCCTTTAGCATTGATTAACACAACTCTCAACTCCACATCACTATCTTCCCTTCTATCAAGATGACTCTGCACTTTTGTCACTGTCTGCAAACGCTTTTCAAGAATCTCATCGTACAGTCTGCAACTCAGACCTTTGAATGCCTCAGCAAAAAAACTTTGCCATTTTTTCCTGAGAGACTATGAGCAGTAATTCTACTGTGACAGACATCCAGAACACCATTTCTCAGGACTAAGAACATCCCAAGGTAAGCCCATTTTCTTCAAATATCTGGAAACAAGAAATATCTTCTACTCTCAAACCAATGCATGTAGCATTTCTGTTGCACATGTTCTTACCCCGAAAGCAAGCCTTCTCTTTCACCTCAACATTTATGATTCTGGGTCCTGCAGATCCCAGTGGGTAACACTCTCAAAACAAAGGCTGCTCCTATGTTGACAGAAACAGATTAGTGAGACAGATCTTAAGGTAGGTTTTATGATTTGCTGACAAATCTAATGACACTCCAGCTATCTCACACTACTGAAGTTTGTATCGTAGGCTGTTCTGAGGATGCCAATGTGAAGCCGTCTCCCTTTTTCAAAGCAAAAGTCATGAATGTAGCTTGAGTGAGCCAGACCCATATGGCCACCTGAAGCACCACTCAGAGCTTGGCCGCATGCTAACCCAATACCAAAGACAGTCTTTTCCAGTCCAAACAGCACAAGAAAGATAAAGGAAATACAGTGGAACTATTACTATATTTAAAAAAAAAAAAATCCATTTTTAATTTAATCTAAAGATTGACCTCATCTGAAAGCAAGAACAAGGCAGGATTTCCTTCCTGTGAGGCAGAACATCAGAGGACTCACTGCATCAAGGCAAGGCCATTAGGATAAGAGGCACAATGGCTGCCCAGCCTGCCATCAACTTCTGTAGGCCTTCCATCAAGATCAGGCTACATAACCCTGTTTCATATTTCAAAGCCAGTCTGCATAACCCTGAATCATATAAAATCCTGATTCAGCAGCACTCTTCATACATCAGTCAGAAGAGAACCCCACACATGGAAAACAGATGAGAAGAGTCTAAATAGCTTTGTTCTCAGTGCCTCTTTCATATCCTGGTGTTTTGTTCAATCTCCATCATAGGGAGACCTGCATAACCCTTCCAGAACATAAAATCATAGAATCATAGAATGGTTTGGGTTGGAAGGCACCTTAAAGATCACCTAGTTCTAACCTTCTGCCATGGGTAGGGACATCCTCCACTACACCAGGTTGCCCAAAGCCTCATCCAACTTGGCCTTGGACACCTCCAGGGATGAGGCATCCACAACTTCTCTGGGCAACCTGTTCCAGTGCTTCGCAACCCTCAGAGTGAAAAATTTCTTCCTTATATCTAATCTAAATCTACCCTCTTTCAGTTTAAATCCATTGCCCCTTGCCCTATCACTACATGTCCTTGTAAAAAGTCCCTCTCCAGCTTTCCTGTACGCCTCCTTTAAGTACTGGGAGGCTGCAATAAAATCACCCTGGAACCTTCTCTTCTCCAGGCTGAACAGCCCCAACTCTCTCAGCCTGTCTTCACAGGAGAGAAGCTCCAGCCCTTGGATCATCTTCGTGGCCCTCCTCTGGACTCGTTCCAGTAGCTCCATGTCCTTCTTGTGTTGGGGACTCCATTGGCAGTATTCCAGGTGGGGT